TATAATGGAAGTGAATGGGAATCACGGCTTTGGAGAGTCAAAATAACATACTCAAACAAAACCAAATTAAACCCTGCGGCTCGTGACGATACATTGATGTGTAAAAACACAAAACGATCGGTCTGTGCAAAAAACTGAACAGTATTTGTATAGTTTTTTACCTCTGATTCACCGCAATGTCCGAACTGTCCTGAGCGCAGTGACACTCCTAATTGAGATTGTAGATTCAGTTTCTTGCACAGACCGATTGTTTCGTGTCTTTACACATCAATGTATCGTCACGAGCCACAGGGTTTAATTTGGTTTTGTTTGTGTATGTTTTTTTGACTCTCAAAGCTGTGATTCCCATTCACTTCAATTATATGACTGACAGACTGCAACGGTTTCAGTTTAAAATCTTCGTTTGTGTTGTATTGAAGAAACAAGTCACCTACATCTTGGATGCCCTGAGGGTAAGCAGATAAACATCAAATTTTCATTTTTGGGTGAACTATCCCTTTAAGAGCGTTTTCTACTAGTCAATTTACGTTCGTTCGTTATTGTTTCACGTGCGTTTCCCAAAAATGCACTTAACACAATCACACGTAGCTGTGCTTTAAGTGCTACTTAGGAGTCGCTATCCATTTTGTCAAGTGCTGAAATGAATGGCTCGTAATTGTAGTAAACACTTGTTTATTGGAATGTTAACCTAATGCTGCGTTCCAGACAACTCGGATATAATAACTATAATACAATATTATATTATATTATACAGCTGTGATTCCCATTCACTTCAATTATATGACTGACAGATTGCAGCGGTTTCAGTTTAAAATCTTCGTTTGTGTTGTATTGAAGAAACAAAGTCACCTACATCTTGGATGCCCTGAGGGTAAGCAGATAAACATCAAATTGTCATTTTTGGGTGAACTATCCCTTTAAGAGCGTTTTCTACTAGTCAATTTACGTTCGTTCGTTATTGTTTCACGTGCGTTTCCCAAAAATGCACTTAACACAATCACACGTAGCTGTGCTTTAAGTGCTACTTAGGAGTCGCTATCCATTTTGTCAAGTGCTGAAATGAATGGCTCGTAATTGTAGTAAACACTTGTTTATTGGAATGTTAACCTAATGCTGCGTTCCAGACAACTCGGATATAATAACTATAATACAATATTATATTATATTATACTTTACATAATATATAATATACTTTATATATATATATAGAGAGAGAGAGAGAGAGACAGAGAGACAGACATTATTTCCGGGTCCAATACATGGCTGGTTTTCGTGCACATCAGCAAGTCATTGACAGATTTTTTCCCCCAGTCTTTGAAGCATATTTCCTACATTAATTCTTTTATTAATTTTTTTGTTCAGTCATTTAATTTAGATGTGTATTTCTATTTTTCTGCTCCTTTTAATTATTTCAGTTATAAATTAATAAAAAAAAACAAGTAATAAAGTGTACAATAAAGTACAATCAAATCCTTATATTATAATCACATTGCACTTGAATAAAGTTAAAGGTGCAATCTGCCGATTGTCCGGCAGGTGACCGCATAAATCTGTCTTCTTACGATGCACTGAGAGCTTTACGATTACTCCAGAGCACTCGTAGATCTACGATGATTTTAAAGTGCTACTTAAGTTACGATGCTTTTGGGAAACAGACCGTAACATAAGATCAGTCGTACGATCGTTTTTACGAACTTCTTAGGCTTACGAAGCTTCTGGGAAACGCAGCCCTATTCAGTTCATGGCAGAGACAAAATTAATTTATTGACAAAGCATTCAGTTATTTGCATTGAAGCGAGTGAAATCTGTATTCTCAGATGGATTGTATTCTGCAGTGAAGCATGTGAATATCTGATGCAGGATTCACTTTCTAGGTATGTGAAAATTGTACAATGCCAAGCAAAAAGTAGCTTTTGTTCTATGAACACTTTGGGGAGAAAATAAGAGGACAATTTCTGTCCACAATTTGCTTTTTGCCAGAGTTTTCTCTTATACTCACAAAGTCTGCATTTATTAAATAAAAAATACAGAAAAAACAGTAATATTGTGGAATTTTTATTACAATTTAAAATAATAGTTTTCTATTTGAATATATGTGACCCTGGAGCACAAAAGCAGTCTTAAGTCGCTGGGGTATATTTGTAGCAATAGCCAAAAATACATTGTATGGGTCACAATTATTAATTTTTCTTTTATGCCAAAAATCATTAGGATATTAAGTAAAGATCATGTTCCATGAAGATATTTTGTAAATTTCTTACCGTAAATATATCAAAACTTAA